CTTTCTCCTACAGTGATTGAACATTATCTGTAACTAGGCAACTGTCCACTTTAGCAAAGCCTTTGCCAATGCATGGAGAGTCTCTCCCCTGCCTCTGAATGCCTACTGGCCAGTGCTATGCCACCTACCTGCTTGCTGTGTCCTGCCCTTGATAGGGATACTGCGGGGGCCATCACCTGCAGCATTGAAGGCAAGGATGGAGATGAGGTAGGAAGTGTAGCCAGTCAGGTTCTTCAGTTTGACACCACTCTCTGGTAAGAAGAGTGTTTTCACCCTTTCAGTTTCATTCTGCCGCTGAGCTTCCCAGAAATAAATCTGTGGAACAGGGAAAATCGAATCAATGCAATCAAGGATATAGAAGGAAAATGTGCAGGAGAAAATAAAGAGGCAAGAGGATGAAATAAAGACATCTACTTCTCGCTTTGGCTTTGGCACATGAACCTGCTCTTCCATTCCAAAATGTGGACATGGAAAGTCAAATTTTCCTAAATTAACAAGTTTTCATTCTAGTGGTTATGTATCACGTCTTTTCTTTCAGAGTTGTATCTCTTTATGTACCACCCTCCAATTATCTGAAGCCTCACACCTGGATTCTTCAGTATCATCTCACAGACCCAGTTGCATTTCATTGACTCTTTAGAAAAAAGCTTTTTGACGTGTTGATGAATTGGTAAACTAGAATCACTCAATTACAAGGTAATACATTAAGAGATACTTAATGAAGTGATACTTCAAGAAAAAGAATGAAGTCTCCCTTAAATCAACCTTGATTCCTGGCAACTACATTGTCTTCTGGGGTCTTCTACAATTTTCCAGTCTTGTCTATATCCATGAGATTTCCTAGTGATCTCCCCTCAAAATACTAATCAGATTTGACCCTGACTAGCTTTTTTGAGATTAGCTACAGCTAGTTAAGTGCTGCCATCTATCCACCACAGTACACTGCGAAACTGAAAAAGCAATGGCCCATTAAATAACTGCATAGTTACTTGAAGAATTCAAAGATGCTGAGATTTCTGCCTCATAAATACACAGGTAATAATTTATACAAGCATTACCTCTCCTTTGCTTCAAGACAGACATCTGTCTAAGGTTGGAACTTGATAAAGCATTTCCCTTTCTCTTTTCCTTAATGTAGGGGAACATGTCTTGATACATGAGCTGTGGAAGTGCTAATCAAAACATGGCAATCCTGGGTGCCTCCTCCCAGATTATTTTTAAAGGGATGAGGGAATTGAGGACAGAAGGATTTGGGAGGCATGGATGTAAGAACAGGTCTCAGGGAAGCTAATAGTCCCCTGTAGGAAAATCTTCATCCATCAGAGGGACAGAATTAGGAATACAACTGGTATCAGGAACGGCAAATATTAACAAGCTGTAGATGTGCAGTACTATGAAGTGAACTTGTTTATAAAGCATTTTAACTTGTTTAGCAATGTGACATTTTAATGTTAATACAGTGACTGCACTATCCTACATCTTTCCCACATTGCACATAATGATGGACTCAGAGACAAAGAAATAAAGGAGAAAAAAATATCTAAAACAGAGGAAGTTTTACTAGTATCAACAAGAAAAGAGATCCTGCAGTAGTCTCCCAGAGTTTATGGGATTTTGTTTTAATTTTGAAGAGCAAAATGATAATAAGAAAAGGACACTCACAAGAAGGAGATGTGTGACAAGGATGAATCTCTAAACGTGTTTTTTTATTGTCAACTTATCACACTGTTCGAAGAATTTTTAAGCAGAATGCGGTGGTTTAGTGGTTAAAATGCTGGGTTTGTTGACCAGAAGGTTGACAGTTTAAGAGCGGCATGCGATGGGGTGAGCTCCCATTCTTGCCCCAGNAGACAGTGAGAGAGACTGTGTGTGTGTGTGTATGTGTGTGTGTGTTAGAGAGAGAGAGAGAAGTAAAGTTTGGCTGTTACTTTAAATTCACTGGTTCTCCATATATTCCAAAGAACTGGTTGTGCCTCAGTGTTGTGTGAAAGTGATTTGAGTGTGGCTGTTAACCAGAGCTGTGAGTATGCACCTGTAATATTTTTATGGTGTTAACATGCTTAGGAACAAAAATAGACTCACTGGGAAGACATGCCTAATTTTTCTCCCAACACAATTCTGGATTGTGTCTTATGTCCCACCCTAATTACCTCTTTTTTCGGTAGTAACTACTAAGGCCTCTGCAGCTTCACCCCAGCCCTTTCGGGTCTGCGCTGTGATACGGAAGAGATAGGTGGACTCAGGTCGGAGGTTGGTAGCAGTAAACTGGCGGGCGCTGGGGCTGAGGACTTCTACATTGGCTGAATTGGCAGTGGTAGTGTTGAGGCGGTGAGTGATCTGGTATGCTGCAACAGAGTCAGAATAGGATTGGATAAGAAAAGCGTTTGGCAAAAAGGGATACTGCCCTATAGAACTGTCTTTGGGGCAGCTGAAGAAATAGCTTTCCCAATGGAAGTAGACTGCAATCATGGGAGTACTGTAATCACTATCTGGGCCAGAGGTTTGATGTGGGTTCCCTTTTTTAACCCTGCCACAATTTTTCTGTGGCCCTGTTTGATCTTCAGAAAGACAAAAATGGGAGAAACTTAAGAACTCGGGTCACTCTGGAATAGGTAATGTGTCTTACCTAGAATGATACCATTGGGAGCAGCAGGAGGCTGCCAGATTAGCCGTACAGAAGTTATTCTCACTTCAGGGAAGAGAATGCCCACCGGTGGCCCCGGCACTGGAATACATCAAGGCAAAAGACGATGGATGATTAGGTTGAATGAGTCAAGTATATGTTCATTTATTCATACAGGCAGTGACTGGGATGCACATGCAAACACAGATATATACAATTGATGCTACCTGAAATTAAAATCAGTATTGCTTTTTTAGAGGACCACGGCACAGGGTGTAGGGATGGGGAGCTGCTTATAGCAGTTAGCAATAGCAGTTAGACTTATATACCGCTTCATAGGGCTTTCAGCCCTCTCTAAGCGGTTTACAGAGTCAGCATATTGCCCCCAACAATCTGATAGATAGATAGATAGACAGACAGACAGACAGACAGATAGAGATGATAGATAGATAGACAGATAGATAGATAGATAGATAGATAGATAGATAGATTGCAATAGCAATAGCAGTTAGACTTATATACTGCTTCAT